ACCATCGATCCGGTCCGTTGACTAGCTCGGCCGACAAACTTTGTGCCACATAGAGCATGCATCCATCCACTGGACCGGATCGATGTTTGGTTGGTTTCATACAGGTGAGGAACCCAGCTAGTGCTTTCGGGGTGTTGACATGCTATGCCGGAAATGCGCGTGTCAGAGATCGTACTTGCGTGTATAATCCCAAAAATCTTTCATGGCATCCCATGACCACATAGAGAATGCATGCATAATGGTTCCATGTGGGGAAATTTTTTGAATGTTTTTACGGTTTAGTGGGAGGGGGGGTTTAGGGTTATCAGGGTTTAGGGTTTAAGGGTTTTAGGGTTGACGGAACTATGTTTGTCTTACGGTGGACGTAGCACACACACCAGACATTGATGGAGCGTTGGTCTACAATGGAGTCCCTCCTGTAGCATCGATCTGGTCCGTCGACTGGCTTGGCCGACAAACTTCGTGCCACATAGAGCATGCATGCATCCACTGAACCAGATGAAATGTGCGTGTCAGAGATCGTACTTGCATGTACATGTACCATCCGTTCCATCCACTGGCTGGGCCGACAACCTTCGTGCCACATTGTTCACATTGTCCAATTAACACTTTGTATAGATTTTTTTGGTAAAAAATGAAAGAAATAATGCAACTAATCTGAACGTAATGTTTGGCATGTATCAAACCAAGTTGCTACTATTCCTCAAAAAAAACCCAATTAGCCACTAATTGCGCCAAACATATCTCATAATTACCAACGAAAATGGGTTGACAATTATATCTGGAAATTCTTGGACTGAATTTATTGCTCTTCCTTTTTTAGAGAACAATAAGTTATAATGGTGGGCGGCGGGTTGGCACGGGCACGGCGATGGCTCGGGCTTGTGTGATATGTGGTTCGACCCGTGGTCAGTGCACATGTTTTGGAAGCCCCGAAAAGATCGCGCTCATTAAAAAAAACTTGCATCGAAGCGCATTACTTCAAAATAACTAATTAACCCTACAATCAGGGATATATACCTTCCCATTCTACCGCATATCTACCCTATCCTAACCACCCCCATCTACCTTGTTTCTCCTCACATAGCCATCGCCGGGATCGCGCCATCGCTTCTCAAGCAACCACGCCGACGCCGGATTAAAAAGGTCTCTTCCACGGCTTCTCTCATCTTCGATTGCAGTGCTGATTATTTTTTCCATTGATTCGACCAACAAATAATTTCCGAAGAGATTAGAAAATCCAGCTTTTGCCATAGTTGAGTAGTTCTGGTGTGATTCGAGTACAGGATGTCATGCAAGAGCTTTTTGATTGATAGTTTGTACTAGTTGATCGTACGAACTGATTATGAATGTTTTTTCACGGTCGTATTGTTTCGAATTAGGTGGATGAGGGTGTGGATATAGTTTTCATACTATGGGTATATGTGTTGCTGTAGGGACCATGGTCTCAGAGGCGTATAACAACCATGCGGAGTACGACAAGTCTTTGCATGAAGCGCGTCGGGAGATCGACTTGAAGGTGCAAAAGGATCGCGCTGAGGTAGATAAGAAACTGAAAAAAGAACGTTCATACGTGGACAGGATGATAAAGGAGGAGCGTCTGGAGTTTTCCCTTAAGAT